AAAAATATAAAATATAAAAATATACAGTTTTACTTTTATATATTTTAAAATCGTTTTTATATATTTTATCTTCTTTATTATGGAAATAACTTAGAATTCACTTGTAATAAAGCATTAAACTTAACAGGTTAAGTTTAATGCTTTATTACAAGTGAATGACAAGACCTGCAAAGTTTTACTTGTATGTCATTCAAATTAGCATACAAAACCTTTATATTATAGTAAGTTCAATATATTTGTCTGAAACTTTAATCTTAATATGAAGACACTAAATACACTTTACACACTTTTCTAGAAAGTAAATTTAATCAAAACAAATGTTTAATCTTATTTTCCTCAGTCTTATTCAAAAGTTTGACATCAGATTTTGAAAGTCTCAGAACAGTGAAAATTTCATACTCAGTGAAAGATTTGAGCTTGTCAAAAATCTTTAAGTTAATTTGGCACATTTTATCCTCAAGATGTTTCTACGGAAAGATATCTAAAAAATTTAGATCCACATAATGTGTGCAAATCAATTCTCTTCTATGGTACTTTCCATTATGCAATGATCATTGGGGTTGAAGACAAATATATTGAACACATCGTAATATACTGTAAATGGCTTCAAATGCAGATTTGAATGATTTTTTGAGTAAGACTTTAATATTCAGTTATAATAAGGCATTAAACTTTAGATGGGTTTTAAATAATCTTTTATCTTCTGTAATAGACACTATGTGAAAAATTTATGTTATTATTTTCACTAAAGATATAAGTTTTTGAATAATTTATCTTAGAAAGCTTTAAGATAAATAAATTCTCATATTAGAGTCATTTGATATTTTAATTTTTGAAAAATAAGATAATGTTTTATGACTGAGAAATCAGAAACTTTATTTTTATGTAAAATTTATAATGGCATTTATCTATTAATTTATGATATTTAATTTAATTTTCTGTAATTTGTAAATATTATTTTTTTTATAGAGAATGATCATCATATATTTTTTCTCTTACTCTTATGTATGTTGATTGTCATTACTTGTTTTATTTTCCATTGACTTAATATATCTGAAAGACAAAGTCCAGAGTTACTAAAAGATATTTATGATTGCATTCTACAAAAAAAATAAAGAGAACACAGTTTATAAGTAGCACAATATATCAGTATTTTATAAGATAGTAAAATAAGGAGAAAGAAATGATAAATATTAAAATGATTCTGTAGTTATATTTCGATACACTTTTTTATTTAGCGAGATAAGATTATTTTTAAAATGTTTTAAAAAACAATTCATAGTTTGTACTTTAGTTTATATATATATAGACTATATATGTGTGTGGGTGTGTGTCTGGAAGGAGAGATCATAAAGCGGTCCAGGTAGAATAGCTTGTAATGTATCTGCACAGTAAGCAGAAGTTGCAGATTCAAGTCACACTCCAGGCCAATCTTTTCCTTCTAAAATTTTAGAAAATTATTTAATTAATCTACTTTGATTTTTAATTATTAATATTGATACAAAATGTTGACCTAATTTCCTTCCTTTACTCCAATTCTATTTTAATCATTTTTTTATAGTCTGAAAATAACACAGCTTAAATTGATTTAAATTAAATATGCAAATTCCTGTGTTACATTTTACAATAACTTGTTTTACTGAAATTAATATAGTATATAGGGTAGTTTGATAGTTTGAGTATGGTAAAATCTGCATAAACTAGAATCACATGGTACTGAATATTTTTTCCAGTTTGACAGGTTTCTGTTTTGAACAGGCTTTTTTAAGATAGAAAATTGGTCCATTTCAAAAAAAAAATTTTCCCATTTAGACTGGTTTCCATTTTATTCAGATTCTGTTTTGCATTAGTTTTACTGTATATGTAGATTTACTTTACTAGGAAAAAGTCTTATGTAAAGAAAGATTTATGTAAAATAAGATGTATTTGTATTGTGTTGTATGAGAAAAATTACTTTTATAAAAAATTCATTATAAAATCAGCTTGAACTTTAACTGGAGTTCGGATAACATACCACCATAGAATTTTTAATGTTTGATAAACAACACAAAATAAGAAAATCGAGTGTAAAAAAGCAAGTACAATTAATTAGATAGGATAAAGAATAAATTTGAAAGTAAATAGAATGGAATTGATATTTAAGTAACAATTTGAAATTAATTTAAAGCTGTAACTTATAAAATTTATAATGCACTTGACATAATGACATTTCACATCAGTTTCGATCATGCCATACAATATAGTAAAAAATAAAAAACCAATAAGTTGTAAATGTTGTTTACTATGATTTTATTTGAATTCTTGATTTTGTAAGTCTTCTTAATTTTGCATGAAAATATGCTGTTATTTTAGTTTTTATAAAATCTAATTAAATATAATGATAATTTATATTTATATTATGAGTGCATGCTGTTTCAAAATTGCACAAGATAAGATTTTGTATGAATTACAGTGCATTCAATAATGATAAGAACACTTGGTTTTTAAATTTATTTCAGATGGAGAAATAGATTTTACCCATATTTAATTTTATGAATTTCAACATGTTTTTACATTTACATACAAAGTATCAAGTTCTAACATAAATAATAGAATAATTTTATTCAAGAAATGAGTTTCTTGAAGTGTTCAATAATTATAATACCACTTGTGAATAATAGACAGAAAATAATATTTTTCATGTTATTTATGAAAGGTAATAACCAGAATGCCCTCTTATGTACAATTACTTTGAAAACTCTGTCCATAATCAACTCAATCAACTTTTGAAGAAAACTCTGAGGAATTTCCTTCCATTTCTCAATGATTGCAGTCTCAAAGTCTGTGATGTTAATATATTGCTTTCATTGGCATAGATTAATCTGACTAAAAGTCCCCAGACATTCTCCATAGACTTCAAATTCAGTGACATGACTGGCCAATCTATGACTTGAACCCCATTGGCCAGAAATCATATCCAGGTAATGTTGGCTGTAAGGATGAGAGTGTTATCTTGTTAGAACTGCCACTGATGATCTCACAGTCTTTCTTGAAAGGAAAGTAGATGCATTTCTAGCTGCTTGAATGTATCCTTTAGCATTCTGTCTTCCTTCAGGAAAGGCAATATTTGTTTTTCCTCATTCTCCAAAGGCAGCCCAAACCATTATGGAACCATCCAAGTACCTTAAACCTGTTACTGGTGTGTAAGTCCAAAAAAAGGAAAAAACAAAAAAACAGTACTTCACAAACGTTTTTGAACCAATTAGAGGTTCTTATTCAGGTGAAATGACGAATTTCTGATAGAACACAAACAAATAGAAACATGATGATTTGAAAGTTTGTTTGAATTCGTGTTTCATGCAGAACATTGTACTAGGCACGTGCTCTCTTGCTGGTGGCATTTGTTGAGATTTACAGGTTGCTGTCCATTAGCACCTGCCACGCTACCGACAGGGTCAATTCCTCCTTGTGGTTGATACATGTGTCGGTGAGGCTAGATCTATAAATACAAATGGCCTCTAACCATCTTAAATGTTCTGTGCATGGTGAGGTGAGGATGACCCTTGCCTGAGGCCGAGAGAACATTTGTATTTATAGATCTAGCCTCACTGACACATGTATCAACCACAAGGAGGAATTGACCCTGTCGGTAGCGTGGCAGGTGCTAATGGACAACAACCTGTAAATCTCAACAAATGCCACCAGCAAGAGAGCACGTGCCTAGTACAATGTTCTGCATGAAACACGAATTCAAACAAACTTTCAAATCATCATGTTTCTATTTGTTTGTGTTCTATCAGAAATTTGCCGTTTCACCTGAAGAAGAACCTCTAATTGGTTCAAAAACGTTTGTGAAATACTGTTTTTTCATTTTTTCCTTTCTTTTGGATGTACACACTAGTAGCAGATTTAAGTTACCTGGATGATTTCACCCCAATGTTGTTTTGATCTAGACATTATGGAACTCCTACCCATTTGTCATTTGGAGTAGATTTCCTTCTCCTTTCCTAAATCATGCCAATAGTACTGGTAATCAACAGGCTCATTTAAATTGAACTTTTTCCTCCACTGTTCCTTCCAGGTCATGTTATTTCTGGTTCAAGGCAGTTTGGCAGCCTTGTGCCTATATATAAGCTTTTTCCAATTTTCTTTTGGAGTATTTGAGATGATTGGCAGCATGAACTATGCTCCAAACTATTCCTAAGCTTACTCTATATTTGGGTTTTGCAGCAATATTTCTGGGAGCTTATTCCATTCATAATTTCCCTTAAAATTTCTTGCAAGAAGTAAGTTTTTGCAGCCTGCCAGAACTCTTTCTAACTCCATATTCTTCATCTAATTTTAAATAATTCCTGATCATGCAAATTGATTTTCCTGTTTTTTTAATGACAGATCTTACTGATTTTCCAACTTCATTTAAAATACTTATTTTACTTTTTTCAAATGCTGAAAGTATCTTGCTCTTACCTATTTTGTCCTTTTGAATTAACAATGCTGTGCTGAACATATAGACGACAATTTTAGTTACCATAGCAACAATAATAAATATCAGTAGTTAGATGACTTGGTGTTTAGATATCCAGTTAAACTTATTTAAAAATTAAGTTAAAAAAATATATAAGAATTCAATAATGATAAGAACAATCAAAAATTTAACACTTTCATTTTTTGAAAGTCATTTTTCTGTGAATAATTAGCCTGCTAATTTATTTAGAATTGTAACAGTTAATGTACAAGTGCGTCTTTATGAAAGAAATAAGTGACAACAATCAGAAAGTAATAGCTCCTAGAACTTTCAAGTTATTCATATATGTTGCCAGTTCTTATCTTTTTTGAATGCACTGTACACTAGAATTGTAGGTATACAGGATTAAATTATACTTGCAGTTTCAGTTGTAAAATGTGATGCATCATATTTTTTCAAATGATAAAATTAAATGAAATTAGATTTTTAATAGCTTTTAATATATAATTCTATTTTAAAATAACTAAATAAAACCATTTTTAATTTGTATTTGTAGAATGGCACATATAAATTCTATCAACAATGATAGTAAAGAAGGTAATTCTTTTTTATTTTGCTATTTTTAAATTATTTAATTAATTAGTTTATAATAAATTATATATTGTTTGAATAATATTTCTTTTCCATTTTAGTTATTAATTAAGATAGTTTTTAAATTTTAAGCGTTTTTCAATTTTGGGCTAGTTTTATTTTTCTAGTCCCTCTTCAGTGCTACAGGAAATGCACATTACAAACACTGAGTTGATAAATACGAGGGCTGTTCGGAAAGTTCGCGGCCTTGCCTATATGCGGCGCTGCGATCAATTTAATTTTTGGCGGGAATAATTCAGCCATCTTTGCTAAAAATACGATACCAATTTCCGCTTGATTTGTAAAAAAGTTTTGCCACGACAGCTTAGCAGATAGTCAGTGTGCACATGCTTTGTCAAAAATGGAGAAGACGGAGACTCGTGCGGTCATAAAATACCTGACGAAAAAAGGGTTGACCCCATCTCAAATCAAAGCTGACATGGATGAAGTTTTGGGAGAGTCTGCTCCTTCGTACACCACTGTGAAAAAATGGACAGCCCTTTTTAAATCTGGCAGAGAGAGTGTGGAAGATGACCCTCGCAGCGGACGGCCGTCAACTGCTGTCACTGAAGAAAACATCGACAAAGTTCACGATTTGGTATTAGCAGATCGCCGTTTGAAAACGCGTGAGATAGCTGAGACAACAGGCATCTCTGTCGACCGAGTGCACCACATCCTAACCGAAGATTTGGGTATGACGAAGGTCTCAGCAAGGTGGGTGCCGCATCTGCTGACCGCCGAGCAAAAACGTGTTCGCACTTTGATGTCAAAGGAGTGTTTGGACTTCTACCAGAAAAACCCACAGGATTTCTTGCGTCGGTTTGTGACTACTGACGAAACGTGGATCCATTACTACACTCCTGAAACAAAAGAACAGTCGAAGCAATGGAAACACCACAGTTCGCCACCACCAAAGAAGGCAAAGACAGTTCCATCAGCGGGTAAAGTGATGGCCTCGGTTTTTTGGGATGCTAAAGGCATCATCTTTATTGACTACCTAGAAAGAGGAAAGACCATTAATGCTGTCTATTACTGTGAACTTTTGGAAAAACTGAAGAAAGAAATCGAAGAAAAGAGGCCACACTTGAAGAAGAAAAAAGTTCTGTTCCACCACGATAATGCACCTGCACATTCCGCCAGAATCACTGAACAAAAGATAAACGAACTTCGCTTCCAATTAGTTCCACATCCACCGTACTCACCTGATTTGGCCCCCAGTGACTTCCACCTTTTTCCAAACCTAAAAAAATTCTTGGCTGGAAAGAGATTCCACTCAAATGACGAAGTCATCTCTGAAGTGAACGAGTATTTTGCACACCTTGACAAATCGACCTATTGTGATGGCATAAAAAAGCTAGAACATCGCTGGAATAAGTGCATTGCTAACAGAGGAGATTACATTGAAAAATAAAAAAGTTTTAACATTATTTTGTTTGTTTATCTATGTGAGGCCGCGAACTTTCCGAACAGCCCTCGTATAATAGCATGAGTAGAAATGTCAAGTAACACAAGGAAACACTTTTTACAATACCTTTAAGAATTTCACCCACTTTTTTTCTTAAGCTAAATTGTTACACTCATACAGTACTTCTATTTACAATGTTAAAATATCTTTGTGGGAGTAAAATGCATTACAATGAAACAATGTCACTATAAATAATAATACAATCATAAAACTCAGCAACAAATAAGTAATATAAAAACTTTTAAAAAGTTTCTTACAAAAATATACATACAGGTTTTTTGTGTTATATTCTTTGAAAATATTCCATTCTAACACTAAACAATAGTTATGTATTGTATAAATCCTTAAATGGTAATTTACACACAATAACTTTTACATACATTCAGTGCTTGGTTTTACAAAACAATTTACTGGTTTATTGTCACGCCCTCTATAATGTCGTACTATAGTTGTTCAATTTGCATGCCATTAGAGATATTTATTAAATTATTGTCATTATGTTTTATAATTTCAATATGTTTTTTAAATTTTCTTTTATACATATTTTTCTCTATGTGCAAGATTTTAATATTATTTCTATCAATATTACAGTTACTAGTTTTGATATGGTTATACCAAGGAGAGTTGTTATACTTTAATCTAATGGCTGCCTCATGTTCTTTGATCCATAATTCTAAAGCATGTCCTGTTTCACCTATATAATTTTTTGGATTTTGCAATTACAGTTGATTTTATAGACAACACCTGTTTTTGTCAATTTATCATTATTAGACTTACATGTTTTTAATCTATCAATATGTACTTTATGTGAAATTTTATTGGTTATTGGATAAAGGAGTTTCTTAACCTGACTTGCTGTAAGATAGTCTACCAAAGGAATTATTTTGGATTAAAGAGACAACCATTCACTAAATATATATTTGATTAATTTTTTTGTATTTTTCTTGCAAGAAATTTAAGTTCAAGAAAAAACAAATGAACTTCCAACCTAATATGTATGGTCAATTCTTGTGTGGTAAATCTAATTTTCCTTATAAAATGTTCTTTATTTTAGCATTTAAATATATTAGTTATACTCACTCAGAATATAGACATTATTAGGCTATCCTGGTGGATGTTAGACAATACTTGTTTATTCTGCATAATTTTACCATTAAGCCACACACCAATGTATCTATGATGATTTTGATTATTTTATAGTAAAATCTGTGTAAGAGTCATTTTCGCACTTTAAGGCCAGCACAAACTAGTCAACTGTCAATGCTGTCACTTTCAATGTGACATCAGAGGCAATTGTTATGGTCACATTGTTGTTTTCACTCAATGATCTGACAATGTCATATCTTTTGATATCACTTGATGACATAGTTTTAATGAATCAATGAACATTTCATTCAATCCTCTATAGACAGTTGCTCAGTAGTTTGTTTGTAAAATGGCAATGATCAGCGACAACAATTTGTTGATGTTAGCTTCAGCTGCTTCCTTTTGGCATAAATTTAATAAATAAATAAAAACGGGAACCCAATAGAGAATGGATTTGCCATTGTGATATATACATAATTTTTATAATTTAATAAAAACAATGAAACTCTTTATATTTTTACATATATGAAAATCTATCAAACAGTTTTGTTTTGTAATCCTAGCATGGCAATGATCAGCGACAACAATTTGTTGATGTTAGCTTCAGCTGCTTCCTTTTGGCATAAATTTAATAAATAAATAAAAACGGGAACCCAATAGAGAATGGATTTGCCATTGTGATATATACATAATTTTTATAATTTAATAAAAACAATGAAACTCTTTATGTTTTTACATATATGAAAATCTATCAAACAGTTTTGTTTTGTAATCCTAGCATGTCAAAGCCATTGTTGAAATGAGACAAAGATCACAGCACAAACATGTGCAAGACTTGTTTGTGGTATACAGTGCATGTTCCTTTCTTGCAAACTTTTAACTGTGCATGACTGTCTCCCAATCATCACTGAAAAACCCAACATGTTTGATCCAAGAGTCATCAAAGGGACTGTCTACTTTCCATTGAAGAATATGATGTAGAGTGACATTGAGTTAATGACTGTGCAGTTTATGATTGAATCTACGACAATGTAATAAATTTTGTTTAATGACACCTTTAACCAGTTTGTGCTGGACTTTAGACTTATCTGTCCCTGTCTCTGTCCTAATTCACTTCCTGTTCTTCCTTTCTACTTTCTACCATGTGACTAATGCCCAAATTCATCTGGAAAGGAATTGTTTTTCATCATGACAACACAATACAAATGTCAAGTGTACTTTTATACAAAACAATAAATTCATTCAAATAACTTCAACATAAATAATTCTTAACACAAATTTTGCAGTAAATATATTTTATACAAAATCATATTCCAAGACTGCTATTTAATATCAGGCTTATTGTACTTAGATAGGAAACACATAGATCAAAAGGAAAATAAACTCGTTTTTTCTTTCTCATCTATATATTTTATTGTGGAATGCATTTCAGAGCAAGTCCTCCAGCCATTACATAGAAAAATTACAAAAAGAAGTTGGACATCTATAAGTGATAATTTTTCATTACAAATTATATTAAAAAAAATGTTTTTTACAACATAAGAATACAAAAAAACTGAACTTACGTTTATGTATAAATTATATATTACATACAGATATATAAATTTCTATAGTGAATGTAAATATAAAGTTAGTTAGTTCCTTTAGTTTATTTTATTTATTTATTTTTAATTCTTTCCACCTTGTGGGCATCAAGAGGGCTACTTTAGTTTATTACCAACATTAGTTTGTTTCATACATTGAAAAACTAGATATTAGTGATTTAGCTATTCATTGATATGAAACTATATTATATTATATACTATAGCTTATTAATTTGAATACAAAATCATTTAAGCTTAAAATGATTGTGATGCAATTATTCTAAATATCTTAATATTTTTATACAGAAGAAATAAAAATAATTTATTTATGATTTTATAATAAAAAATCCAAAAATATAAAATTTTTTAAATAGGAGATGTTAATGAAATCGAGGAAAATAAAAGTATTCATTCAACACCTGACGAGCATAGTAATTTAAAAGGCGATGATAATGACACTTATTTTCAAGAAAGAATATTGATTCCAGATGATGGAAATGTAAGTAAAATATTTATAAATTAATGTTGTTGTGTATTATGTAGATGCATATCTTAATACTTTTTTATAATGTTTCTCTTGAGGTTGTATTATATTTATTGCATTTACCAAAAGTATTTTTAATTTTTTCTACTCTGAACCAAAAACCTTTTTCATTCTTATCATGTTCACTTTTGACAGAAATGAAAAATAAGTCCAACTGGGACAACTTGGTAGTGAGGAACAGGTTGAGGTCAAACTATTCTTGGATAGAAATTCCTAAGGATCAAAGGCACATTTAGTATTTTAAAATGATCGGATATTTTATATAATATATATATATATAACTATAACTCCAACTGTGCTTACAAGAAATATTCATTTTAATTTCTTTCCTCCTTTCTTCCTGTTTGCATAGATTTTCCCTGTGTTGCTGAACTCATGCAATGTCCATTACGGTGATATCTTGGTTTTCGTCGATAATCTGTCAGAAAACAATCAGTGAAATCCAAAACCAATGAAAACCGAGGCAATTATTTTTATACGAATCAATGTAAATCTAATTAATTTGTTATAGATGCTCCAAAATACATACCAAAAACACATTTTATAGAGAATAAATATAGTGTTTAATACTAAAAACAATAAGAAATTAATATAAAATGAATATAAAAGACTAATATGTTGGCCTCTGAAACAGAAATGCCATTTGGTTTTAATTGATTCAAATTGATAACAACTGTTCGACGTCTTCAATTGTTTGTGATCTCTGTTTCATTACCACGTTCACACCTTTCACTACATTAACCTCATTTATTGCTACCTTTTTTGCCGTAATGAAACATATTGTGGATGGCGACTTCCCGTACAGTACATGCAGCCGATTTCAGCAATCTTAATTTCGCTCTCGTATTTTTCAATGATTTCCTTCTTCACCTCGATCATGTTTCTGGCCAAGGGCTGCTGGCTCTGGAAACTTTCTTTCATCCCATGATGGAGCTAAAAGGAGAGGAAAGCAATGGAATTGTTTGGCTAGACATGCATGGGATAAAGCTCACACAACAAGAAACAATGCCACACTGAGCAGGAAAACACGTGGGTCGCTCTTTGTTTTCGCAAAATTAGCAGAAAATTTCGGATTTCTCTGCTGACTAAATCCAAGGCAATCAATGAAAACCGAGACAAATTTTTCATGGAAAAACTTTACAAAAAGTGAAACTGACAATAACTGAAGTCAACGAAAACCAAGGTATTACTGTATTTGTATTTAAAATAACAAAATCGATTGCTTTTGATATTGATATGCTTTTGATTGCTTAAGATATGTTAGTACTATACACATCTAGGATTGGATGTAAACCCTAACCAAAGCCATTCAGATTGGCAGGCAAATATTTAGATAACATGAACAAATTGGAAGCAAAAGTTTTGTACCAAACATTTCTCAATTAGCAGATGTTAAATACAGTGCAATCTCTGAAATCTGATTCATATGTCAATACTATGACTGAATTATCAAAAATGCTGGGGTTAATCAAAAATAACTACCAGAAATACATAGACTGTAACTGTGATAAAATAAATATGCATTTTTTTCTGCCTACTTGGATGTTTTTTATAATAAAATTCATACATACATTTATTTTTGATATACCTTACATACTCTATATTTCTTTACATGTCACTTTCTCTCACAAACTGTTGATTGTTTTTATTGAAAACAACTTTCTAGGGTGTTTTCTTAAAGCCTATCCAATATATGTAATCTGTAATGTATGTGCAATTAAACACAAGTATCTTCAATTATGTTGCTTGCCTTCTTATCTACAGACAGTAAGGCAAAAGACCGATTCTAGATTACTGGAGGTGCAAGATTTCTGAGATTGTGCTGTATCTAAATATATAAAACTACTTGTCCTGACTGACTGATTCATCATAACTTCTTCGTGCACACCGGGGTGTATAATAAACAAAAACATACTTACTCGTGCCTCTAACCGGTGTGTAGAGATACAAAATTAAATAATTTTGTCAAAACAAACAGTAGAGGCACGAGTAAGTATGTTTTTGTTGATTAATTCATCATCACCCAGAGCAAACTGCTGAACCTAAAGAGGTGAAATTTGGTACACAGTTAGGGTACATCATGAAAGCACGCACTAAGAAGGGATTTTTCGAAATTCTCCGTGGCGGGAGAGGGAGAAAATTAAGGCTTAACTTGAAGAACGGCTTCTACTGTACTATTTTAGATGCAATTTTTTTGTTTTCAACTACATTTAGTCTTCATTGAGTACTTATGTGTATTAAATTGATAACATTTCAGACATTGTTATAAATATTTTAATATATTTAGATTTTTTAACCAAATGTTCGAACCATTTTAAATTCAAATTTGTTATTGCTTATTGGTTCGATATAGAATGATTGTAAACGTTCCAGAAAATTGATCAAATTGAAAACAGTTCATTTGATTCTCAGCAATTCTCATCATTCTTGGTGGTAGGTGTTATATAACAATTACTATGGTTGTTGAAATACTGAATATAAATGGGGTTTGCTTGCAAAATCTGCACGGGTGAAGTCACGGGTAACAGCTAGTATCTTAATAGAAGTAAAGTATTAACAAAATATCATATAGGTAAAATTGTACAAATGAATATTGTTCTTGCTGAATGTAATAATACAAATGAAATTAGATTTAAAATTTAGATAATAAATTACTTTTTTGTGTTATTGTTTCAAAATTATACTGTTCATGATTTTAGCTTTGATATTTTAAAGCTGCATCATCAAACTTCAGTTTATAAAAAGTTTCCAGCAACTAAACGGTATTAGTCAGAAATTGCTTGTATTTATTAAAGTATAAATGCTATTGAAATAATTAATATGTTTTTTATTTCTTAATATATTATTATAAATATCTAATTAATTCAATAAATTTTTTTCAGTATGCTTTTAGTTTTAGAAAGCTCTGGGCTTTTACTGGTCCAGGTTTTCTTATGAGTATAGCTTACCTTGATCCTGGTAATATTGAATCAGATCTACAATCTGGAACCTTAGCAGGATATAGAGTAAATAGCAACTATTGTATATTGTGAATTAAAATTCTATATATATACTTTATAAATATTTTTATTTCTTTATTTTAGTTGTTATGGCTGCTAATGTGGGCTACAATTTTAGGTTTACTTTTACAAAGGTTAGCAGCCAGAATTGGCGTAGTTACAGGTCTTCATTTAGCAGAAGTATGTCAACGACGTTTTCATCCAGTACCTCGCTATTTGCTATGGATTATGATAGAAATAGCAATCATTGGATCTGACATGCAAGAAGTAATTGGTACAGCTATAGCTTTTTTTCTACTCAGCAGTGGAAGGTAAATACTAAAACATATCATTTCAATAATAAAATTTATCGCCATTATGATTTAAATTTTATTTTGTTATTATTTGTTTGTATTAATTTAATTTTTCTCTTTCATTATATATGTAAAACAAAATTTTTATAAAAACTGATAGAATGAGATAACAAAAATAAATACAAAACTAGGTTGTGTAATGTAAATTCAAGGAAACAGTGATCCAGCAAAGTTGTGTAATCAAACAAGCAGCTTATGAAACAACTTGAGTAAACATATTTCTAACTAATGTTAAAACATGTCTTTCTATTTAAAAATATCTTTGATAATTGTCATTATTTTATATCATCATAATTTTGTTTAGACAACTTAAAAGTCAATTTGAAATTTGGTATGGACTATCTGATGATATGAGTTTATCACACTGAGTGTCCAGTCTAACACATTTTAAAAATTCTTTAAATTGTGTACAATAGATGAATTAAGAATTTTTTAAATGTGTTAGACTGGACACTCAGTCTGATAAACCCTTATGTAAGATAATCTTTGTAGTTATATAAATCAAACATAACAACATAACAAACATTAAAATGAAAATCATTTTTAAGATATATTTTTTCCTAATGTTAACGTACTGTATCATTCACAGCCAAATATAAGTGGTAATCTGCCAACAAATCAAATTTCACAAGAAACAAACCAAATATTTAAACTTGGCACCCTGCAAAACTACTTAAAACCTATTTTGCACTTTTTGATAACCTTGTGTTATGTAATTTTCTTATTTGAATGTCACCATATTGCTGGTTGATAGAAAGAAGGGATTGTTGTGAAAGGGGGTTGAAGTAAATTCAACCAAAAGTAGTGGTTGACCTCCTCCTGGAAGAGAGGATAGTCAACGACTACTAATTAATACTGGTCTACTATTAATATTTAAAAAGTGATCTATGTTGGATAGGTTGTGCTGGCCCCACATGTGATCGAAGTTGCTAACCTTATTAACGAAAGACTTCATATAAAACCTGTTTAAATAAAAATAAAAAAGTCTTGTAAAACTGTGAGAATAATTGCTTTTATGCTATAATAAAGTATATATATTTTTGCAACAGATTGTATAAACTACATGGGAGGTATGTTCTCAAAAATATTGCAGTTATAGAAAAATTATTGAGCTTCAATTTGAAAAAACTGTAGACCTATAAATTCCAATTATTGTCCCTGTCTGTGTGTGTCTGTTCTTCATTAATCTTGAGAAAGGAGTTAGATGAATGTCGAGACCCTGGAAAGACTTTTATGGGAAGCTGGACTCTATTTAGGTGTTACCAACATGAAGAAAACCAGGAAAACTCTACATGGCCAGCCCATTAGCCATGCCTGAACCCATGACTAACTAAATACCAGTGTTTGGTGGTTTTATCCACTCGTTACTGGAGGTCACTTTTTAGAATTAAGAAAATACTGTTTAGAAATTAAAAAACACATGTTGTTAGATGTGGAAAATTTAATACATATAGGCTATTGACAGGCTGTCACAGGCTTAATTAAGCACTTTTGATTCCAGGCAGGCAAGTGCTATATGCTGCATGTCTCAGTAATGATATAGCATATTTATTTTGTGCTATATGCTGCATGTCTCAGTAATGATATAGCATATTTATTTTGTGCTATATCATTATCACAGTAATTAAGTGAATATAATATAAATTTTTAAAAATTATATCCTTTTTTTTGTAAGAATTATATTTCACCATCTATTGGCAAAAAAGTTATTTTGCCAATAGATACCACAAATTTTTAATTAATTAAGGGCAAAAACTTTTAAGCCCTTATGTAAGACCTAAATAGGCTCTTTTCATGTTATCAGCTTCAATGTGTATGGCTGATAACATACAATTTTTATAAGTTTTAGCAAATGTTTTAAATGTTAACGTTTTTAATTGTTATGTATTTGCACTATAATAGTTTAAATTTCTGGCATTTCTTACTTCAATTATATGCAAGCTGTTGATAAAAAAGTAGCAGGAAAATGATACTGAGAGAATAACATATAATGTAATAATAATACTATTCTCACTTCCTCAGCCGTATCTTTACAAATATAAACAAAACACCAAACTCTTGCTGGACGAGAGGGTTAAAAGTTATTCGAAAGTTGTATTCGAATAGTTCTTGAAGATGGCCTATTGAAATTGGGCTGAAAACGTTTGAAATTAAAGTAATAATAAGCTCAGCAAGAGTTTGGTGTTTTGTTTATATTTGTAATAATAATAGTTATTATGATTAATAAATCTTCAAATTTTATAATTTTTAATTATTTTAACATAGCTTTTTAATGTCAGAATCAAGAAAACTACAATTTCCACTAACAATAGTCTTATTTACTTATTCCACTTCCTGTTATCAGTTATCTTTAAAAGAATCTTGAGTAGATTCTAATCTATGTGCAACTGTGCAAATGTAAGACAGAATATGGTAAAACAAATCAAATTGAAGAAATCATTTATATTTCATAAAACTTTCAAAATCTGTAGGTCAATTGTCAGAAGACTGATAAATTGAAAATGAGTATTTTTAAAAACATGGAATGAATCTATTTAAATTTAAAATAGTTTCATATTTTAACAAAAATGTAAAAAATATATAAAATTTTATAATAATAATAATAATAATGAATTAAAATGTAAAATAATTTAAAGTTGAAGCCAAAAAATAATAATGATTTGAAACAAATTTTATAATAATGTAAGTGAATAAAGGTAAAAAGTAATTTTTATGTTATTTTATGATCTGTTAGGGGAAATATCTCATTAAGTTACAAAGCAGCTTATTTTAGATTACCTTAAGAGTTTTTCTATCTCATTTGTATCAGAATGGATTTTGCATGTTGGCATCATAAAACTAATAAGATGTCAAAGAATAAATATGTTTTTGACATTTGTTTTCCAATCCAACAATGAGATATAAATCATTCTAGAAAAACATTTTATGGTAACAAATTTGTGAACTTTTTATTGAATTAGCAATGTTCCAATTATTAAATTTACATATTTTTAAGAGTTTTTTACAATTTTTTTAAATTAGTTTTTGGATTCTAGTGTACAATAGCTTATACTGTATCAACCTTGTACACATTTCCAGTAGCACCAAGACATTGTTAAAAAATTTTTTGATAGAGAAATATTTGAAACATGAGAAATTTATAAAAGATCAGTCTGATGAAAAATGTATTAATGGCAAAGATTCCAAATTCATTTCTACAGTCTGGAAATCTATTATTGATAACCCAATATACAATAATAAGGAAGCCATGTAGTGGGATGCTTCTATACAATAATTTTTTCCCACCATTTATTTTTTTATTATACTACTACATAATACAATTTTATTTACTTGGTTAAATAGTGTTGGTGTTAACATTTGAATAAGAGAAGTGTTTAGTTTTATGTAAGATGTTTGAAACTGATACATAGAACAAAAAATTCAAAGAAAATTCTTGATTATTTAGACTATTCGGCTTGCAATGTAAATGTTTAGTAGAAGCCTGAGGCTGGCCTCTAAAAGGAGCCAAAAATGTTTGCACTGCATATTTTAAATAATCTTAGTGCTGCTGGAAACATGTGCAAGGTTGATGTAAGTTACTATTATATTAATTCCAGTTTTATGTATAACCTGTGATTTAGATTCTGGTTTTTCAATAATTTTCTGATGACAGTTTAAACATTTGTTAATCAAAATTTTTAAAGCAGAATCAATTTCAATCTATGTCAATGACACAATATAGATTGAAGTTAATAAATCCTGTGAGAAAAGCAAATGGCATCCAAAAATAAACAGGCATAACGGTCAATCTTATATAAAAGTGACCAAAGACATCAGACAGCCCCCAAAATGTATTTTGATGTTGAAAATGTAAAAAGAAGTCAATAAAAAAATCTGTTCAATGTCTGGAGTTTTTGACTAGTTTGAAAAATTTTATAAACAGAAGCTTAAGTCATCAGTAGAAAATTAGACACTTATTATTTTAACTTTCATGCAGAGAATACTTCTACAGATTTTTTAATATTCTTTTGTCATTCTGTACATAATTCACTTTAAACTATTGTATATCATTTTCATTTTATAATGAGATTATCAGAAATTTTAATTAAGATATAAATACATCAATTCTTTTATAGTAAGTTTTAATAACATTTGATTTTATTTTTTATTTTGTATAGAATTCCTCTCTATGCTGGTGTTTTAATCACAATTGCCGATACATTTACTTTTCTTTTACTTGATAAGTATGGATTACGAAAATTAGAAGCATTTTTTGCATTTCTTATTACAGTTATGGCTATTACATTTGGATTTGAGGTATGCATGTATTAAATTTTGACTCNAAAATGTTTGCACTGCATATTTTAAATAATCTTAGTGCTGCTGGAAACATGTGCAAGGTTGATGTAAGTTACTATTATATTAATTCCAGTTTTATGTATAACCTGTGATTTAGATTCTGGTTTTTCAATAATTTTCTGATGACAGTTTAAACATTTGTTAATCAAAATTTTTAAAGCAGAATCAATTTCAATCTATGTCAATGACACAATATAGATTGAAGTTAATAAATCCTGTGAGAAAAGCAAATGGCATCCAAAAATAAACAGGCATAACGGTCAATCTTATATAAAAGTGACCAAAGACATCAGACAGCCCCCAAAATGTATTTTGATGTTGAAAATGTAAAAAGAAGTCAATAAAAAAATCTGTTCAATGTCTGGAGTTTTTGACTAGTTTGAAAAATTTTATAAACAGAAGCTTAAGTCATCAGTAGAAAATTAGACACTTATTATTTTAACTTTCATGCAGAGAATACTTCTACAGATTTTTTAATATTCTTTTGTCATTCTGTACGTAATTCACTTTAAACTATTGTATATCATTTTCATTTTATAATGAGATTATCAAAAATTTTAATTAAGACATAAATACATCAATTCTTTTATAGTAAGTTTTAATAACATTTGTTTTTATTTTTTATTTTGTATAGAATTCCTCTCTATGCTGGTGTTTTAATCACAATTGCCGATACATTTACTTTTCTTTTACTTGATAAGTATGGATTACGAAAATTAGAAGCATTTTTTGCATTTCTTATTACAGTTATGGCTATTACATTTGGATTTGAGGTATGCATGTGTTAAATTTTGACTCTATTTTAATTTTCTTATTAATTAAATTATTTATTATTGTTGTAATTTTACTATTATAAAAAACAATACACATCCGAACCTTACAAGAAATTCTAGGATATTTTTATGCAAACACGAACATTTTTGCATGATCCTAAGAATGTTCCATTTCCACATTCCATTTGAAAATATTTTAACCTGAAGAAGATCTCCTATGCAGATCGAAAACATTCGTGTTTGCATAAAAATATCCTGGAATTTCTTTTAAGGTTTGGCCGTGTACTGTTTTTTATGAATTTTACTATTTATTTATTTTTGCTTTAAAGTATGTTAATGTAGCTCCCGATCAAGGACGAGTTGTAAAGGGACTCTTTGTACCCTGGTGTAGTGAGTGTTCGGGGGATGCACTTCTACAGGCTGTTGGTATTATTGGTGCTGTAATTATGCCACACAACTTATACTTACATTCTGCTCTTGTTAAGGTGAGATTTAGACTTAAAATAAATAGGTCATTTAATCTAAATTAATAATTTAAAAATCTGCTTTGTTGGATCTCACTGACTTACACTAATGACAATTTTTCAAGTGGTTTTGGATAACCAAACTCTTCAACTCATCAGGTGGTATGCAGAAGATTTTGTATTCCTGTCAACCCGAAAGTACTTGAGACTTTTGGACCAACTTTCAATAAAGCAGAGTTTTAATTTATTAATTTAAAAAATTGGAGTTTTATTCATTTATTTAATAATAAAAATTTTATTGATTGTTTAGTCTAGGGAAGTAAATCGTAGAAATAAGGAAGCTGTTAAAGAAGCAAATTTATATTTTTTTATTGAATCTGCAATTGCATTGTTTGTCTCTCTCATTATAAATATTTTTGTTGTCGGAGTATTTGCACATGGCCTTAGTAACAAAACAGAAGGAGATGTTGTAAGTTTCCAAACAATATTTTTAATTAAAATATGTTTTTAAATGTAAAATGTTTAAAAAGTTTAAAGTAGAAATATAATTTAATTAAAATATTTATTATGTTTAATAACAATTCTCTCTTTTTTCTTTTCACCAAAAAACCTGCAACGTCATCAGAAATATTTTAAAAAATTCATTACCTTTTGACACAAAAGCACTCGTCAAACTATTGAATAAATTGCAAGTATATAAATTAACAAAACAGATTGACAGCCCTCACCAAGTAAAAAGTCACTAATTGATTATATATACAGGAATTAGAGTTTCCAATTTTTGGGGTTGATTTCTCTGCCTCCAAACATCTATAGTAATTCTGAATATATATTCAAAAGATAATTGTTTTCTTGAATGGTGTGCAAAATTTCAGCTTTTTCAATAAAGGGGTTGCCGAAATATGACAAATTGAAAAGTGCAAAAATTGCAAAAAAAAAAAAAAAGCTGTATTTTTCTTCTTTTCTTCATCTGACACTTGTACAGAAAAACTGAGTATAGAAAGCTCAAATTTTAAACTTAATCCATTATTGTTATCAGTGAGCTGCTTGCAAAAATTCTGGGTTGCTAGATCAAACTTTACAGGGGTTCCTCATAGAGCTATTTTACTTTTATCACTTAATTTTATGCTTGTAGGGATAAAATTGTATCAAAATGAGTGATTTTTATTTAAAATTTGTAAAAAAGGGCTGACGAATTTACAATTTAAAAAAACATAGCAGAGACTAAAAATGTCTTCACTTAGCCATGTTCAATCACCAGGAACAACAGTCTTCCACAGCAGAGACGACCTTTCTTAAGAGGCTATGCCTCTGCAAAAAACTTTATTTAAAATGTTATCTGGATAACAAAAGCTTAAATTTATATCAATTAAAACTTTTTTATAACAATTTTACTAAATGCCATATTGAAAGCATTCAGTTGGCAGCTGCTGTTGAGTGCCAACGAGATATAAATCATCATCTTAGGTCTTGATATAATAACAGAATAATTAACTAAAAAACAATTGATATCCAAATAAAAATATCTGAGACATAAAAAAAAATTTGAAAATTTAGATGACAAAGTTTTTAAGGAGTTTTTCTTTGGTAAAAATAGGCTTGGCACTTCAAAGTAAAATGTAGAGAATAATAAGAAAAACCTTGTGGGTACTGCTTCAAAGTGTCAAGTTTATCTTTACTAAAGAAAAACTCCTAAGAAAAGAACTTTGACTCTCATCAAAATTTTCATAAATTTTTTACATCTCTGATGTTCTTGTTTGGTTTTAAACATTCATTGATCAGAAATATGACAAATACTTTGACTGATATCCTTTATGAAAACTAGCATTTGGAATTTTTTTTCTTACATATTAGCAGTTTTTATCCATTTCCTATAAAGTTTTCCATAAATGTCTAACTTCATGCACAAATAGAATAGGTATTTTTGAGCAGTTATAAAATTTAATATACATAATTTAATACTAAAATTCAAAAATTAAATGTTTACAGATATATAACTTTAATTTTAAAATTGTTGTAAAAATGTAAAAATTCCAATAAAAAAAGGTGCAAACTTGATGGTTACATTTGTGCACAAAAACTGAAGTAATTATTACTGACAGTATGCAAGTTATGAGTTTGTATGTATTGATAATTTATTTTTCTATTCTCTTTTTTATTATTTTAACAGATTGTTCATATTTATTATATGCATGTGTTATTTTTATGCAAATACATATCCATATTTTTTTTAATCTTATTGTCTCTAAATGTTATTTAATTCTAAATTTTAATAGTCTGTCTGTTTTTCCAATGTACAAACGTTCATTTTATTGCATTCAAATTTGTTTCACCAATCTTTTTATAATATAAATATTTTGTTTTAATGACATAAATTTTATTTTTGGAACTAATAATATAATTTTTAACTGTATTTTAAAGATATTCAAAACGTTTTTCATTGATAATTTATATGGATAATTATTCAAAAGAATTTTATACATCGTCTACTACTTTTTACTTTTCTGACTGTTATATATAACAGAGGAAAAGTATGGTGATCAGTCAAAAAATAATGTCCCAAAATTTTTGTTCTTGAACTCAGGACCTTGAAATGTTGAGAAATGAAAAAAAATTTGGGGTTTTTTCATATATATGGATATTAGTGTGTATGTGTGTGGGAGGCATGGTTTTATTCAACCAATTTGAAGCACAATAACTCCTGTATCTGTTGTCATAAACTTCTGAAATTTTGCAGGGAAGTTTGATGCTAGTAAATTTAGTGGTTAAAGATTGAGGGGTTGGGGTGATATGCCACATGATTTCCTCCTATCTCGAGCGTGGTTGGACTTAATGAAGATTTTTACTTATTAGCATTTAGAATTTTTTTATAAAACTCGTCTCTAGCTTCAAAATTAAGCTTTTGCCATTTTATAATAATTAATAAATACTAAAAGTTTTTTTAAACAAAATCTCATAACAGATGGTGCAACTACAATTTTAAATTTTTTTGCCAGGAAAGTTATGCAACTCATTAATTTTTTAGAGACAATGAGATCTGTTGTTCTATCAGTAGTCTTTAATAAATCCATACAAAACACATTATATTTAATATAATTAGACACATTTGAATAAAAATTGGTTACCAGTGAGAGGATTCTATTATCTATAACACACACACATACATTTTTAAAATTTATCATTTTAATATTTATTAATTGTTTAACTTCTCTTTCTCTCTCCCTTTTTTAAGTGTTTCTATCCTGTGGACCTTTATTTTAAGCTCACTACAGATTCAGCCAAACTAAAATGGAAGTGGCTGTTTTATCTAAGTTTAAATAATTTATATGTTTATATCATACAATTCTTGAAATTGTACATGGTTTAGGATCCTAGCTAGTACAGAATTACAAGGAACTAAACAGTATTGACAAGCATATATTTTTTGTTTGTCTGAGGTTCCTAATAATGTCAAGGTCCTGAACGAAGCTTAGTCTGTCTATGCCTAAAATCTTTTGGCAGATTGGTACCTTTAGCAATTTGCCCATCTAACTAATTTAACCATATTACATCAATTATATTATTATAAAATAACTTGTATAACAAAAATTATTATATTTTTATTTTTAGTGGCAAATATGCAACAGCAGTCATATTAATCAAAATTCTTTCCCTGTAAGTTTTTTTTATGACAGTAATGAATTAAATTTTCAGTATTAAGTTTAAATATTTTATATTAATATGTGCATTTAAATTTTATAGAATACTAACAAAACCGTGGATGCTAATATCTATAAAGCTGTAAGTAAAACTTTTTACCAAATTTATCTTGTTTATATTGCGTTATGGGTTGTTTCACAAATCTCAGCCAGAAACCACACATTGCTGGAGTGTGGCTCCACAATATTGAAAGGGTGTTTGAAACATTCTCTGGATCTCATTATATTCATATAACTTGTACCCTTCATAAATTAACATAGATTAGTCCTTGCTACTGTACAGGCTGTCAGGCGACTATAGAACAGTCCATATCTGTCATATTTTTAGACAAAATGTATTGTTTTTACCCATCACTCTGCACCCAAGTCTATGGAGACTTGTGCAATGGTTGGGACATGATTTCGATCTTGGAAAGATCAGGCGTGTATTCTATCCCGTTAGAGAACACAGCAACTGGGGTACATAGGGGTGACCATCAGAATGCTGTCTAGCCGTTTATCTGAACACCAACATTCTGTCACGGTGGGAAGGTGTGACACTGAGTTGTCCAAGACGGTGTTACAGCATCACCACACCCTGCTTTGGGACTGTACTGTGTTGCTTAGGCACTGTGGAGAAAAGGGTCTGGTGCACATTTGGGAGTCCCTTTTCACTGCGTTATTGCCCCCATGCAACTCCCCCACCCTTGAATTGCCCGGAATTTGAATCAGCTTGTATAAGCTTTTAAATAATTACAATTAACTGCGTTTCTCCATCGTCTCCATGTGTTTAAGCACATGCGTGTAGATGTTATGCAATTTTCAAAAATAAGTCTTTTAAAAACTTTTTGTTCTAAAAGTTTTTTTATATTCTTTTGGTTAACGCTGTTCCTGTTTGTAATTAAAATCTGTTCAAAAAATATTTGATTCATTTTTTTGCCTGAAGACAGCATTCATAGCTTTGTTGAAAGCACTTCCACAGAAATAAAATATTCTCTAACACCTTTTTATATGAGTTTTTCTCCTTGTGCATATACAATTGTCAGCATGACATCCACTCTACCTATTTATGTTACTTTACAAAAATCAATCATAGTTAATAAATTGCCATTGTTGCAATTTATGTCATTTTTGATATACTTCTTGTGTCATTAATTTGACTGATGATATTATGATAGTAATTTTAGATTTTAGAACAAGAATGTTAAATACAAGTATGTAAAATTTCTAAATTGGCAATTGTATTTTCATTTTGATTAGCTGAAAGAGGTAAAGTGCATTGGGTATTTTGTGGATGATCAAAAAGTAATTTTACAAAGCCAATAAAAAAGACAAATTTTCATTTTGATTAGCTGAAAGAGGTAAAGTGCATTGGGTATTTTGTGGATGATCAAAAAGTAATTTTACAAAGCCAATAAAAAAGACAAATACTTTTATTTTGGAAATGAAAACATATAGGATTTAATCTGTAAGCAATATGCTATTTCTCAGCAAAACTACTTAGCCTGTTCAGATATTTATTGCAATGTGTAATGAGTTTGTTCATTTTATTTTAAAAAATTCCTGTTCCTGTTGCCGTGGCCACCCAATGACAACAGCTTTTACTTCTTCAGTAGCCAAACAGTGATCTATATATTGCTTCAAAAGTAGGAAAACATACCAACCTGTTCAGTTCTGATTTTTATTTGTCTATTCTAGTGGCATTGATTTCTGTTATTGACTGGCCTGAATGTCCTCCATGGCTTTCATCATACATTTTCTTGTCCATTTGCAAATAGGACATGATATCATTCCTATATGTTTTGACGAGTTGACAATGGATTTCAGCAGGTAGAACCTTTTTAGCCCAAAAAATCGAAAAACTGCTTGGACTTCTTGCAAGATCACTTTTCTAATCTTGTCATCGTTTGTAAATGCTAGATTACAAATATCCCATGCTCTTGTATCATTCTAATTGTTCAGTATTGCTAATCTGGATCATTAACTACCTACATTAGAGTTATATTCGATAGTGTGTTAGTTTTTAAACTGTCAGCTTTTAAAGTTATTTTTTTGATCATCTCACTTATGTTCTTTGGATATTATCAGAGATATCTGTCAAAATAGGCTATTATTTGTAAGAAAACATTAGCCTAATTTCAATGTGAAACATTATAATTAGGCATACTAACATATTTAGACTTGTATCTCATAACAGATAAAAGTGTTGTGTGTTTAATAGTTATTTAATATTGTGTGCAAATACTGTTTAATCTGTGTTGTTACCAAAGTCATTGTGAGAAATTTCATGCTATTCACACAATGAATTTATGTGCATATTTTATAAAATGTAATTCTCTTGCATTTTTTCCTTTTCATAATTTGTGTATTATATGTTAAAAACAGGGTGTATTTCTGGAATGTCAATTTGGACAAATTCCAATGTATATATGGGCTATAGGTATTCTTGCTGCAGGACAAAGTTCAACTATGACAGGAACATATGCTGGACAGTTTGTAATGGAAGTAAGTAATTACAAATTACCACATATATCACTAATATAAATATGTATTAGTTATTTAGCTGTAAATATTGATACAGATAAACTTCTTTATTAATATTAAGGATTTTATCCATTAAATTTTATTAATAATCATACTGTACTTATCTAAAATAAAAAGTATTATGTTACATATTAATTAATAAAACATGTAATACGGTAGTGTGTCGATTATCTAAACATTGACAAAAAAAATTGACTAGGGAGACTACTTATTCCAGAAATTATAGTTTTTACACATTGTGAGATAAGCAGTGGGTCAGGGGTTAATCTCCTACTGACCACTTAATTTGCACGGGCTGGTGAAGCCCGATCTCTGAGTCGTTCAGATGGCTAGGAGGGCAAAACGAGTGGGGAGTGTGTCGGTAAGTCGACAGGTTTCCTCGGAGAGACAGAAGACAGGTTTAACAAATAACAAAATAAAGGTTTATTCTATAACTAAAGTTAATTTACAGGAGTATACATGAGGAAGTTACTGATTAGATGCGGATAACATATAAATCTGTCTATAATGGCGATCTACTATTCACTATGCCGTGTGAGAGAGTTTACAAAGGCTCTAGAGTGAGAGAAGGTTACTGCACTTCGATATACCTTAATATGATGTCAGATGACGGTATGCAACGATCATTCTGGACTATGGAAGCTGGCTGGCTGTCACAGGCTTATGTCTTCTACCGGCTTCTCCTCGGACAGGATTGGGACAGGAGACACTTGTACTCAGACTTTCCTGATGGTCGCACTGAGGGGACGATCACCCTGAACTGGCACTAAGCCAACTGGTCGTTCACTCATTATGATGACTAATTAGCAGACGCACGTTGACTTGATTTTCTTCCTTCCTATCTTGTCACTGGGTAAGATTCGACATTCATCCTATTTCCATTATAACTTGCGATAATTTGTTTTTCATCCTCTAAAGTTAAAAAGTGTTAAACTCAAAAATTTGCGCCCTCAAAACCCTCAGGCTCACACACAATAACAATTGTCAGCTACTGTATATTCTTTAGTCCACTATTGAGCTATCTTATTATTAGCAATAGTATTAGGTATTATTTATTACGGTACAAAGAGAACAACGTGATTAGTGAGACACTGTCTTCTAATGTATTAAATTTCTTTGCTGTAACCTTTTTATTACAGTAGAGCCTCGAAAACTCGGCCTAATGTGGACCGAAGGGTGGCCGAGTTTGTGAAAATGCCGAGTTATCGGGAATGGGGTTAAAAAAGGATAAGTATGAGTGTTTCCTCAGAAAATATTGTACTGTACTTGTATGTATTGTTTGCTTGAGAATACAACAGAGAGTAAACTGCCCAAATACTCTTAAACAAAGGAAAAGTACGTCCTTTATGAAGGCATAGAGCCTTTACTACATGAAAATGAAAATTAATGAATACACTGTGTACAGTAATTTACTTGATAAGACAGACCTCAGAAAAATCCTTTATGAGGCATAAAGCTATCTATAATGAAAATTAATTAACTAAGGATTTTTTTGCCCTGCCAGGGTGTGGCCGAGTTATCCGGAGTGCCGGGTTATCGAGTGCCGAGTTTTCGAGGCTCTACTGTATTACTGTACTAGTATTAAAATTAATATTTATAGTTTATTTAAGGTATTTTTCTTTTTATTCTTTCCTGTTGAATGTGATTGGTTATCTGAAATTGTCCCATCCCAATTATTTCAGATAATTGATGTTCTGCTGTAAGTTAACATCTAAGTCAGCGCTGTCCAACTGGCGGCCCGCCAAATAATTTTTACGGCCCACGAGTACATTTTACTATGAATAAATTTATGTTACTAAATTATTATTATTAATATTAAAATTATTTTACTACCATGTTTCCCCGAAAATAAGACAGTGTCTTATATTAATTTTTGCTCTGAAAAATGCGCTAGGTCTTATTTTCAGGGAATGTCTTATTTTTTCAGGAAGAAGAATTCACATTTATTATTAAACAAAAAATTCCCAAGTCGAACTTAGACGAGAGTGACGTATATCCGGTGTGTCGAACTGTCGCCTTTTTATAGCGTCAACATCGGACTCGCTGACCAATTAGTGCTTACTGAACCGTAGCACTATGCAAATGTCATGTGGCGTGATTCCCGGCCGACCAATTAGCCATCACCAGCCGTAACGTTATGCAAATCTGTGATTCCCAAGCCATAGTCTTATGCAAATCGTGCTGTGTGGCATAATTGTCTGCTGACCAATCAGTGGCTGTACTTTCAAAAAGCCAACGGCCACTTTCAACCATCTGTCGATGACTGTTACGAGTAAAAAAAACTTCGCTAGGTATTACTTTCAGGGGGAGGTCTTATATTTTGCAATTCAGCAAAATTTGTGCTAGGTCTTATTTTCTGCGAATGTCTTATTTTCGGGGAAACACGGTAGACGAGAGTGACGTATATCTGGTGTGTTGAACTGTCGCCTTTTTATAGCATCAACATCAGACTCACTGACCAATTAGTGCTTACTGAACCATAGCACTATGCAAATGTCATGCGGTGTGATTCCCAGCCGACCAATTAGCCATCACCAATTTTCTTGGCCCCCAAAATGTTTGGTGAAGAAAATATGGCCCGCGGGCTATGATAAGTTGGACAGCACTGATCTAAGTATTGAACAATTCAAAATGAAAGTATAATCCTGACGTTTGCCTAGTGATTATGATTGTTACATCCACATACTTATTTTTCTGCTGACAACCAAAACTCGGTCAAGCCTACATATCCATTGTTATCAAATGTTTTCACAGATTCTAAATAGAAAAACTATCTTTAGAATAATAATGATTAGTAGTTTTTAAACAATTTCATAATACTACCATATTTACACATGTATAGGATACTATTTTATCCAAAATTTTTTAATCAAAATTAGGGTGCAGCCTATACTTCAAATAATGAATAATTTTAAAGCAATTTAAAATTTGGCAGGTGTCAGGTGTCAGGAATCTGCTGCACTGTTGAAATTAGACACCAAATCACGAGTTATTGTGCCATGAATGTCTTGCCCAACTGTAATTTCCTTAAATTCACTTTCAGGAATTTTCATAGTTTAGGAATTCTTTGGACTTCAAACTGAATTATTTCAACAGACAGAAAATCCATTTGCCCAAATTTCACAGATAAACCTCAACAAATGCTTCCTAGTTGGGATATTTTGTCGTCTTTCTGCAAAATGATTTCCTATTTTGTAATGTTTTCTTGAGCATCCTTTGTTTGAATCCATTGTTGAACATTTTTTTTGTCTAGACCAAACTTTCTTCCTGCTTCTCAATTTCCATTTTTTTTTGTACATAATGCACCACTTGCAATTTAAACTTTACCATGTAATTCAATCTCACTCAACCATGTTTAACACATACTGAGCAGGCACTCAACAATAAGCATTAACCATCACTTCATCCTTCGGAATTTGCGTGTTGCCATATTTCTTTATACCTGCATCTTGTCTCTTTGCAGAATGTTGAGTTTTTTTTTATTTTTTCCAAGTATATTGTTTCAGAAACGAGGTGCAGCTTATACACGCGTGCTGCCTACACACACATAAATACAGTAATTACAACTCTGCAAATTATTTACAGGTAAATTAACTTTATTTCAATATGATGATGTTCATCATTTTGATTATCATCATGTTATACATACATACACACATGCTGTCAGCAAATGAAATAAGTTTATTACTATTATATCATTTTCTATAAACATATATTTGTTACATTAAGTAATGTATATTTCTAATAAACAATTCCTCACAAGTAACAAAAAATTTAAAACAAACAAAAGTATTGTGTATTTTTTTCTCCTGCTTTTTTATAATTATTGTTGAACTTTTTTTTAGGGCTTCTTAAACTTACATTGGGCAAGATGGAAAAGAGTCCTGTTGACAAGAACAATAGCCATTTTACCAACTCTTTTTGTTGCAACCTATAGTGAAATAAATCAATTGTCAAACATGAACGACTGGTTGAATGCCCTCATGAGTCTCCAGTTACCATTTGCACTTCTTCCGACAATCACTTTTACGTCATCTGCATATATCATGAATGATTTTGCTAATGGAAGGTAAGTGTTAAAAGATATTTTAAAATTTTCAAATTAAATTTATAATAATTATTATTTATATTTTAGAATAAATAAACTTGTAGCAAGTTTAATATCTGCAATTATCATTGGAGTCAACTTTTATGCAGCTAGTGAATTTATTGCAAAGTTACCAAACTTTTGGGCCATATATCTTGGAATATCAATATTTATAATATTTTATGTGTTGTTTGTGTTATATTTGGTAAGTTTTAAATCATTTATCAATGTTATTTTTTATAAAATTATAATTTTATATACTATTACAAGAATGTATTTGTGACTATATCAACATGTTGAATAATTAAATATTAGGCCAATAGCATAGAAGATTGAAGAGTAGTAAATAATGCAATAAGATTTACAACAAAGGTTACGTGTACAATTTTGTTAACAAAGAAAGATTATTTGCATAATGCAGCATTGAAGAACTACATATAACAATTTCTTTACATTGTCTCATAGAGACACTCTCTTACTGGCAGGTAATGCCACTTGTCATTTTTTATTACTAATAGATATGTCTGAGCATCTATACACAAATATTTTCCCTGATGATACATAATGATATTTAAAGTGGAAGGCAGCTAATAATCATTTAAAATGTATCAAATCAAAGTTTATAAAAAAAAAATCAAATTTGATGCATTCCAGTACTATCAGTAAGATTAATTCAACAATCTACCTTATTTTTGTGGATTGACTGGCATGCCAGTTACACTGTGACTAAAAAATAAAATTAATTAGATCTAACAAAACTAGTTTTTATATAAATGTTAGAGAAAACATTCTTCCCAGTACAATAAATCAGGAAGAAAGTTTTCCTTTACAGTGCAATAAAATAATTAGAGGATTATTGACATTAGTTGTAGTAGTTAGTCAGTGTGGGCTGCACTGACCATTTACCCCAACCTTAAAAACTTTCTCTCAAATATTAATTGATGTGAATTGAGATAATTTACAGTGAATTTCTGAAATTTTGTGTTTTTTTTTTTTATTGTAATTGGATCCAAAAATACAAAAATAAACACTTTTGGCATTCCATGAGTATTTTACATTGTTAGAAAGAAGACAAAATGCTGAAATTAAATGTATAATCATAGGTTTTGATGTAATGCTGACAGTTTCAGAGTTTTAGAATAAATCTCATTTGTTTTTTTGCATACCCTGTAGAGAGAGATGTATAACCTAACTTAAACCGGCATGCTGGTTTTTAACATACAGAAATATCTGATTTCATGGTCTCTCCTGGATAAACCAACATGCCAGACAATCTGCAAAAATATGGTAAAAATTATTTGTTAACAAGTTAAAGAGAAAATTAGTATATGTTATAATTACAATAAAAATAATAATTTATGTTAGATATAAAATGAATATAATACTAAACTATTTTATTTCAGACATTATGTTTCTTTGTATCTTTGGGATGTCAAAGACTTACGCAGATTCCGGTAAGTTGTTCGTTTTGGATTATTTTGTTATTAATTTCTATTAAACAAAAGTTATCTTGAAATCAAGTTTACACTCAAGCCAATCTGATTTAATATAACTAAATTTTTGATTATATTGCATTACTGTTTTCAAGTATTAGAATCAGATTGCTGTAAAATCTTTTAGTGAAGAGATTTACTTTATTTTTTTAAATTACTCAAAAAATTTAGTAAATGATATGCCAGAATTTTCACTGATGCATACTTTAAAATTGTTTCAAAGTATTACAAACTGCAAAAACAGGAAAATATAGTTTTTGATTCTCTAAAGCAGTGACTTCCAAATGTTTTCAAGCCACTACACCCTTGGTTATAAGTTTATGGAACCCTTGGTTACATAAACTTATAACCAATGCACCCAACCCATCTTCCTTTGTGTGAGAAAGGCTTGGAAATATTCATAGAAAAACTTTTATACAAACCTCACACTTTGTGTCCTACTGTACATTCTTCTCCAGCACCCCTTGCCACCCAATTGCTTCATTTTGCCACCTAGATTTACTCGCCACCCTTGGACAGTAATGCCCACTTTGGGAACCACTGCTTTAAAGTTTTTAATAGTACAGTGGGTGATCGGTTAACGAACAGATCGGATAACGAACACTTTCGCGAAAGATTTTTATGTTCGGACAACAAACACATGATCGGATAACGAACACCCCACAGAACAAATACAAGAAGAAGCGACGTAAAATAATGAATACCGATTGGTCTTCCCTTGTCTTCGGGCAACAATTCGAAACTTTTCGGAGTGTGGGAGACGTCGACATCGACGCTCAAGCCGATCGGATAGTATTCCTCCGAACTTTGAAATCCTCCCTTGTAATTCCAGCCTTTTATTTTTCTGACAAAACAATTCTTTTGTGTATTCACGAGACTGTCGGGTAGGCACTCGTTAAGTTTTGCGTCTATTTTTCTTTTCGAAAGATGAGAGTATAATAGCAAAGGTAGAGAGTGGACAGAAGATACCTAATGTTGCTGGGCAATATGGAATAAACAGGTCTACAGTAAACCTCAGTTCAATCTTATTTAAGAAAAATGCTGTATAATCAAAAAGACTCCAGCAGCTAAAGCAGTAACAAAAATCACTTCTGAGAAATAAAGAACATCGAAGAGTTCGTAATGGAACCTGAAACGGATCTGACGACAGAACGCCTAGAACTTTTCAATGAAGAACACCAAGAAACTCGGCAAGATATGTTTTCTTCTGAAAAAGAGGATTAATGTCGATATCTGTTATTAAAGATCCTTTATAGAAGTGGGAGGATGTCGGAACAACGGTCTTAGAATGGCATCTAAACCATGTTGAGGCTTGGGGACCTCTACAATTACAATGCTATTAATTACTTACGAAAAATCATGAAGAAGAGAGAAAAGCAATCGACATTAGACAGATTCTTTATCCCTTTCAAACGGAAAAAACATGACTAATAAAAACGCAACACTGTGTATGTATGTAGTTTTATTAACTTATTACATATAAATAAACGTAGTAAGAAGGTATATATTTTTTATTTTTTAAGGTCTCCAGAACGAATTAATTAAATTCCCATTAAAACCTACGGTAAATCGATAATCGGTTAACGAACAATTCGGATAGTGAACAAAATCTTGGAACGGATTATGTTCGTTAACCGATCAAGCACTGTACTAGCATTGTCAGATATTTAGAATAAATCAATGAAATAAGAACTGTTCTTATTCCATTTAGAGTGTTTTACAAAATGACAATACTTCTGTGTTAATTAAATTATTCTATTTCAGTACATAGGACGATTTTTTGAAGAAAAATATAGTTTAGAATCATTTACTAGTAACAGATCTATATCTATATACGGAGAAGGAAGTGTGCAGTTGAGCAGTCGTGAAGACTCAAATAAAGGTTAGTGATTTATATTAATTTCACAAAAATCTAATAAATTTAGTTTTGTTCAATCGAAAAAACTTATTTGGATAATTAATATCAAATCTAAATATTATTATTGTGGGGAGAATGGAAACATTGGAAATTTGTTATTAGAAAAATACATCTTGAGGAATTGGGATTTTACTTATATTAAAAAAATAATTATATTATATTATTTTGGGAAGTTTTATTTGTTGACAGATTTATTGATAAATCTGTGAATATATAGTATGAACTTTCCAGCAAGGAAAAGTATGAGGGTTGTTCAAAATGTTCCTGAACTTTATTTATTACAAAAAAAATGACTTTACTTTGAAGGAGACCTTGACAAATAAATTGTAAGTGGTCTCCTCCCAATGATGTTTCCACTTTTTGAAACCATCCTGAAATGCTTTTTTCGGAATGCTCATAAGCTCCTCCGGCCATCTATTTTTTTTTCTATCTGGAATGGTGGCAAAGCTTTTTTCTTTGAGCATGTTTTTTAGTTTGGAAAACATGTCAGATGAGTAGGGTAGGTGGGGAAGCACAGCAGTCTTGTTTTTGGCCAAAAACTCACAAGTTCTGTGGGACAAATGAGCCAGTGCATTGTCGTGGTGAAAAAACCACTTGCCGCTCCTCCAAAGTTCAGGCGGTTTTCACCTGATTCTGTTTCCTAGGCATTTCATAATCCCAGGTAGTAGTACTCTGTGTTGACTGTCTGGCCTATAAAGTAGCTATTTGTGATGCACAACCCCTTTGCATAAAAAAAAAACAGTCAACATCACCTTAACATTTGAGCAAACTTATCAAGGTTTTTTGGGGTGGGGGGATGTTTTACCCAACCTCACCATAAGCCTTGGTAATCAACTGAAAAGTTTCTGTGAAGGATTTCCGAGTTTAACACAGAATTTCACAGAACAATGCTGCTCCTTCAAAGAGCTCATTTCAGCGGATCCAATTTTTCGCCAAACCCCACGAACACCACTTCACATAAACGGCCATAACTAATCACCAAAATAAGATATCAACAAACGGGTTGAAACATGTTACTCGGAAGGTTTCTGTGGACACAATGCCTCCAAGCAGATCAAAAAATAACCAACTGGAGGCGCCTATTCAAAAAGTTTGGGAACTTTTTGAACAACCCACATACTTTACCACATAAATTGTAGAAAATACATTAAACAAAGCAACACTTCTTAATCTGAATCTTAAATTATTAAAGTTAAATGTATATATTAGTATACTAATCATAATATTACTATCTTATTCATTATAAGATGTTGGAGTTTGATCTTTCAGTGCTTGAAGAATGCCACAGTATACAGGCAGTTAATTAAGTGAGGCATCTAACTAAAATAATGTAAAGCACATTAATAATAATAAATTGTAGCACAGATCAAGATGACATGAGTAACTGGAATTGAGCCAGTTAGTTGTGTCAAGTAGAGTGCCTAGCACACAACTACATTTCAAAACAATGAAGTATTCCTTTTTCAATTGATATCACATCATTTATGTTAAAAATAATAATTTACGAATATGAAACAATGCAATAAATGAAGTATCACATTCCATCATGTTTCTTCCAAAAATCAGCTTACTTTCTTATTTGCTGTTTCAAATTAACAGATTATTTTTTATTTCATCTTATATACAATTTGTATATATTAATATATTGATTCAATTTTAATTAATATTGTGTTGAGCCTGCTTTAGCCTTAATTACTGTATTGATTCAATTAGTTCCTCGCACTGATCAGGAGTAATGTTGCTCCAAACAGACCTTGCTAGTCATTTTTAGTTGATGGTCAAAGTATTTGCACCGTTTGTTTTGTAATGTTCCACACGTTTTCAGTTGGGTTGGGGAAATTGTCCGGCCAAGTCGGAACACTACATTTGCTGCTGAAACCATTCCTTCACAGTTTTTAAAGTATGAGCTGGGACAAATTCTTGATGAAATAAGAAATCATCATCACCACCAAAAAGATCTTTCACTGTTGATATAAGAAAAGATTCCAGAATTTCTTTGTATATGTCATAATTGACAGTTGTGCTTAAAAAACAAAGGATGTCAGTGCCTGCTACAGTGAAGCATCCCCATACCATTATACTTTGTTGGTGTTTAACAGAATGTTTTAAATAGCTTAGATCACTGATTTCTCCTTTTCTATGCCAAATATAAGGTCCCTCATCACCATATGTAACACAAAATTTTGATTCATCTGAAAACAATACTTTTCCTGTCCTGTGTTCTTTCTCTCCATTGTGATTTATTTAAATTTTTAGTGCACAAGATTGAAATCGCACTTCTGTCAATCTTCACCATGCTGTAGATCTAGATGACTTGATTCTGTAATCATTTTATACTTTTAAATTGATTCCTAATGGTCACCTTCCATAACACTTTATCATCTTGTTGAGTTGACTTGTGACTTGTTTCTGTCCACAATTTCATCTTTTACTTATCAAATTATTAACTTCATAGCCTCTTATTATTTTAGAAACAGTTTCTTGACTAATGTGAAATGTTCTGGTTATTTCATTTTGAATTTTTCTTGTGTTTTTCATTCCAATTATTTGTGCTTAATATCATTAGACAAGTCATGTGTGGAAGACATTTTGTAATATTATTTTGATGGAGGTTTTTTGTTGTTTTTGTCACTAATATTCCGTCATTTTGAAACAGCAGGTAAGAAAGTAAATTTTAATTGTAAAAATTATACACAATAATGAGCTATTTTTGAAAGAAATAAAGATGAAACAGGACTATTCCATTATTTTGAAATTCAGTTGTATATATAAAGTTGCATTAACATAAACATTTACATTTTTTGTAATTACAGCCATCCAAAGAGAGAGCAAATTTTGGGGCATGTCATGTATGTCAGTAAAAATGTTGGCAATTATAAACTTGTTGTGAGTATAAAGCTGCTCAAGTGGGCTTTTTAGTGCCCAGACAAGTTAATGTTGATAACAATTGCTGAGTCATTTCTCATCAAGCCAACGCCGCTGTTTGCCAATGTGATCAAGATGGTAGATTATTGTATGTATATGTGATAAAAGTTCCTTCATGTTACGTTCATAATTCTAGAACACTGATCTTTTTTTTTTAAATATTCATGATACGAAATTTCTTTTTGTGGCCATTTCTGTAAAATCACATGTTCTGGTCTTTTTTTCAATCATTGATCCTAACATAACATATACACATAGAACAATTCAAAGCAAACTGAGAAAACAAGAAGGTGGATCCCTAGCCACAATACTAACTCATCAGTTGATTCGTGTATAAATCACAAGATTTTTTGTTTTAAAAGTAACAGCAAACTTCCTACTCAAAAGTAATTAAATTACAATGATGCTCTTTTTTTCATATAAACTAAAAATGTACATAGTTTGTACAGCAAAAATGAGTTGTTAACCTTCCTTTTCAATTTCTTAGGTATATTTTCTACCAAATCAGTGACAGTGGACAAAATTTGCACATTTTGTACTAATGAATCTGGACATTAATACTGTCTCTCAAAATCTAGAGATACTTCACAAGCAGTACAAACCTACACCAGTCACCAGCCTTTCTGATTCTGACCTCATGGACAGCTATCATAAATTTTTTAAAAAGTTTATGATAGCTGTCCATGAGGGAACAAACATCTATAGAATAGCAATAGTGGAACAAACATCTACAGAATAACAATCGTAAAAGTTTCATTTTACTTTATTAATATGAAATTCACTTGTTTAATTATAGCAAATTAGTGTGAAAGTTTGTTGCTGCTTGTTTGAAGTAAGTTTATGGATTCTTGGCTCTTTTCCACAAAGGATGACAATTGCACTCACATTATTTATTGATAATAGTTGTTTGGTTTTAGATTTGAATAAAATAAGTGAAAAAAAACAACCAAGCATTTTGCATTCCTTTTGTAATACTTCACGTAGCCTTGAGTTGATCAATGTCCAAATTTTCTCACAAACCACTGGTACAGACAGTTGTCTCAAGATGATGAGAAATAATAACCAAAAATATAGCTCTGGGAATCTAATATTTAATCCTATTGCTAATACCAAAGTTTTGTTATCCAATGGTAACAGGAGGCTTACATTGCATTTTTGAAAATCACAAATACATTGGATGCTAGTCTCCTATGCATTTACATATAGTTTGATGTTCTAACATGGAATATAAACCCCCCCCCATTGTCTTTAGATACCAAAACTTAGTTTTAACTATTTCTGTAATACCAAAGTTCTCTGGCCTATTTGTCTCAATCCTATATTTCATCTCTACATTTGTGTAACATTTCAATATGGAATAGTCGATCTGGTTCATCGATTGCAGAGAAAAAATATTCTTTGGCCAGTTCTTGCTCTGCTGTTTTTGTGTGTCTTATTCGTCAATCTCTCATTGACATATTTTTGTAGTATATTCTTGATCCATCTGCATTGTGCATTCAATCAGTCTGTTAATGTGTTGGGAAATATGCACAATTTTGATGATCAAGAAGAATTGTTCCATAATTTTCTCATAAAAACTAGTGGCCCAATGATGATGATCATAGGCAGCATGTAGTTGAGCACATTCTCATTGATAAACCTGTCACTTGTGCCAACAGTTACATGCATATTGCCATTATTCGTTGGAGTAGCCCTGTATAGGTCATGAAGAGGACCTCCAAATGTCTCATTTTGAATCTCTCAAGTGCAAGAATCCAACTGATTTTGATGTTCTTTGAATGTCACATATACTAAAGGATTCTAAAGAATCCTTTAGTATATGTGACATTTGGCAATATAGGTCTTGCTGTAAAAATCCATGAGTGACCATCAGTACTTGCCCTCAATTGTAACCTTTGATTGATTCTTATCTATGTGGCCTTCCTTGTTGTTAAAAATCACTAAAGTTGCTATCCTTAGTGATATAAGGATGACAACTTGTGTCATCTTTGTACCATATGCATTCTTGGCTATCCTGCATGGCATTCTGCTCTTCTTAAAAAATAATTTATTTCAGATTCTATTTGTCTTTATCTTCACTCTGCAATAGTATGTTGATTCATCACTCTTCTGTACAATTGCAAAGAGAGAATTTTTACATGATAATCATGAGGTGCTTCTTCCTCTTAGTTGCTATGATAACATACCAGCCACTACATTGGACTGTTTTGCATAATGGTTTATGGTGATTGACATACTGCAAGTCAAATGCAATATGTGCAAATCATCAGTTCAGACAATGTGCTGTTCTCAAGTGTGAGACACTCCAAAACGTTTGATGTAAGATTTTCTTTTCAAGTTTTTTTAATAACAATCTTGGCAACTATAGTAGCAAGGTGAGAGCCCATAGGTAAACTTGTTTTGTGTCTGTAGAATTTTCTATTAAATGTACAGTTTACTTGGTAGAGGATTACTTGTAACATTTCAGAGAGGTACATTACCTATAGGACGTTCTTTTAAAGGTATCAATCTTGAAAAGTTCTTACTTTGAATAGAGGAAGGCAGCCTTATTCTCACAGACAGATATAATTTTCCAAAAGCAAAGGTTTTTAGTTTATCTTTCTCCAAGACTAAAGTGTTCAAAAGAAACAAAAATACAGTAGAACCCCGATTATCCGCCCTAATTGGGGACTGGGGTTGGTCGGATAACCGAAAAGTATGAAAAAATCCATTATTAGTGTAGTATATTATTATATCCCATGTTATTAACCTATTTTGCGTTGAATTTTCATCGATGTTAAGCCTAACAAAAATTTTTTAAAATAATAATCGTCGCTATTGTATCGTTAAAAATTAGAAAATTAAGCTTCGTTTAAATACTGGCTCCCTTTCATGGTCGAATGAGTGTTGCCAGCTAAAACACGTAAAAATAATATTAAAGTAGCCAAGACATAGCCAAATATTGTAGCGCCACATCACTAGCGGACATTTGAAATTTGCCGACTAGGACGGTCGGTTAACCGAGGGGTCGGTTGATCGGGGACGGATAATCGAGGTTCTACTGTAGATTGCACAATTAACAAATAACATAATATTTTCTGATTTTCTGCTAAGCATGCAATGTGTGATCCATTCCAATTTGAATGTTGTTCTAGAACTGTATACTTTTGCACAGTGGGGAATGTTCCAAGCAACTTTACAATTTTGGATACATTAAAACCCATAGTTTCTAAAGCAACTATTAAGTAATGTTGGATTTTAATGTGACAACATATTGAGGAGGAAACATCAATATGTTTCATTAGAAATTTAGCATTACTTAGAAAAAGAAAATCAGTTTTATAAAAATTACTTATTTTATATTAGAATATCTTACCAATTTAACATTATTAATCTATTATTTGTGAAGCTTACAGTTTATTCTCAATTATCCAGAACCCCAGAAGTAAGTACTGTCAGATAATGGTAAGTTAAATGAGAAATTTAACTAACTTATTGTCAATGTAAAATGTATCTCTTCAAAATTTTTAACTTAAAGAACATTATAAGCTCGCACAAATCTGTGCACAAGCATTTTTAAATGAAAATTTTATCGGCAATATTCAAACCAGGGCTGCAGATTCGGTAAAAAAACCACTTGACTCCGACTCTGGCAACATTAAATACCAAGTCATTTTATGATGGCAGAGGCACTCATAGGGGGGTACCCTACTCTGAACTCTGAAAGGAGCCTGGGCATTTACCCAAATACTAACTATAAAACTTACATTAATATTAATTTTTAACAAATACTTAATAAGAGGAGAAAGGGAGCAAACATCTACATATATTCGACAGCATTTGCACTTCAATCTTACCCTTCCAGAATAGTTAGTCCAACTAAAAAATGTGCAATCTAGCTAGCTACTTCACCTCCTTGTTCAGAAAAGAAAAATATGTACTCTGGCTCATTCAGAGCATGGATAATAAACTACTAAACAAATACTACAAAGAATACTACATGTTTAATAAATTAAATTGATGCATTTTGTATTTAAAATAAATGAATTATAACAAAATACAAAAAGATTTTTAAAAATTTAAATATATAATAAATTTAGTTTTTTTATTTAAATGAAAGGAAAGTAAATTTAAAATGCAAGAGTCGGAGTCGACGCGTTTTTTCCGACTCCGCGGCCCCAATTCAAACTGAATGCTGGATAATCAAGAGTCTACTGTATTTATTACAATTTTCTATAGTATACTTTGCTTTTAATATATATATATATGTGTGTGTACAAAGCAAAATATAAATAAAGCATTGTTCTTATGTTTACTTCTTACAGATTGAACTTCCCTAATACTGTTTATGGTAGATGGATTAAAGCATTTAGCATCAAAGGGAACAATAATTGTTTATATAAAAGTGCACTTAATGAATAGTCTTTCACTTTTAAATATTTATAAAATAATGGAGAAATATACATGAGAACAAATGTAAAGAAATAGTAATAATATTTTCTATAGTAAGCACCTGAATTATGTAATAATTGTAAAAACCAATTTATTTATTTATTTATATACTTTAATATTAAATTTTGTTATGGTCACACAATCTTGGCAGTTTTAAACTGGAATTTGTCATTTGAGATCTTGCATTCTCAATGATAAATTATTTTTGTTGCCGTCTCGTTTATAGACCTGTTTGGATAAGAACGGGTCGTTCCGACAGACCGTGACGGACAAAATAAAGACCCTCTCGATGCTTGGATATAGCATTAGTAGTTTAATAACTTTGTCAATAAATTTGGAAGAGTTAATTCATTTTATTGATGAAGTTGTTCATTTAAAGTAGATTCTATTGTGATATAAGATTTGTTATATTTTTTTAATTTAAAATTTGTTCTAATAAATTAGTTAAATTGCTTCAAAAATATTTAATTTATTGAAAGATTCTTCAAAATTACAACTTTTCGAGAGACATTACTTCAAAAGTAAGATAGGTGGACAGACAAGACAGAAAACACGTCAGCCTGTCACTTTAAAGAACCAAGTTCAAATCCTCAGAAATTTTTTGTTGGTATTTGACATAGATTTGATGGGTGACCAACAGTGGGCTCGACATATTTGTCACGGGTCTGGCCAAATACGAGACGAGCACAAAAACAGTTCTCTTAATACCCACGTGGTGTAAAAAACAAAAAAGAAAGTGCTTTACTCTATTGCATTTAACACTATTATAATTAGAACAAATTTTATAAAAGATTATCAATAGTGACATGCACTCAAAGTGTAGAAAATATAGGAATAATGTGCCTTAAATTGTAACTTACAAAATTATAGTAAAGAATATATAATGTATATGGAATGTATTAATATATTATATATATATTTTTGTGAATATAAGAAAATTAATAAATTATTTTTTATATTAATCGGCAATTACTGCTCAATTTATAATGATGTTGCTTTACAGGATGTTGGCCGTGCTGCTGAATTTACAAAACACGAAAGATATCTATGTTCGATCAATGGAAATGAGTGACAAAAAAGTATTGTACTCATTATCTGGAATCTCGGATATATATTTTTTAAGATTAAGTAACAAAATCTCAAACAACTTTTATACATTATAAGCACTTTAGATGACAACCTAAATTTATCACGTATTAAAATCGATACAATTCCAATTTGTCATCTAGTTTAATTAATATAAATCATTTTTACACAAATGATTTATATTAATTAAGTTAGTTAAAATAGATCTATATAATTATACACAAATTTTTATAGGATCTCAGAAGTTCTTTCTGTGATATAACAAGAATGTGCAATACCTTAATACTCACTGTCACAAATAACAGTCAATTTAAAAATGATCTATTTTAAAAAGTTTTAAATACCTTTTTTTATATTCCACTTTAATTGGATGGATGTTAAGTGAAAACATGACATTTTTCAATATCTTTTAAATAGACAATCATTTAGCAAAACTTGCCTGCTTTAATTGTAAAAAATTGCTTTAATCAAAGATGACAAAAATTAAATTAAATTCTTTCATGCTCAAATGTTTGTCTTCCAGAGTTTTATATGTTTAGTCTAATGTTCCCATTTATTATTTAGAACTCCTCAAAAACAAACATTTGACTTTTTATATCAAAACCATAAGCAAAGAATAAAAATGCTTGGCAGATGTTTTTAGTAAAAAGAATCTCTTGAAAATTTGATGTTTTTGTTATTGACTATAACTCCTTGCAGACAAGCATTTCATATTCTGACTCGCACTTGTGTTTTCCCAATACCTATTTCTTTCACTTGTTTTCAAACATCTTAGTTCATTGTAGCAATTGTCTCTATTCTAGAATTTTAAATTTAATTCTTTCTCGCACAGTTTACATTTAAAAAAAGAATTAAAATTTTGAATGTTTATGTGAATTCTTTTTTAATATAAAGAACTGAAAGACAAACATTTGAGTCTGAATCTTAATTTTTCCAATTTTCTTATATATTTTAATTGTGTTTCCAACAAAACAATCTTAGATATACTATAATTTTTTTTAAATAGAAAACTGTTATTAATTCAAATATTCTAAATATTTCCCTGCAAGTAAATTGTAGATATAAATATATAAATATAATTAAAAAGAAATATGTGATTTAATAAATAAATCAATAAATGTAATTAAATATAATATCTGTTAATAAATAAAACTGGAAATTTTATATTAAAATCATTGTTTTTTGTTAACTCCAGAGTCTAAACTATTCTTCAATTCAAGCTTTTCGTCAAGCATTAGGCTTGATGAAAAGCTCGAACTGAAGAATAGTTTAGAACATTTCTTTGACGTTGTGCCGTAAATTATACGGTAGTCGTAATCCAAAATCTTTCAAAATACTGCATATTACACCGATTTGTAATTACAAAACATTATGAAATTTGTCAATTTAAAGTACAGAGTCTGTTCGATGGTTCTTTAACCTAATTTAAAAGTCTGGGTCTTTTTCAACTAAAAGTATCTCCACGAGGTCTCAAAAGACAAAAGTCCAAAGATTTGAAAGATCAAAACTCTCTTTGATGAGTTTCCCCTTTCTTCTATACCCTCATCCTGAATTTCAAGGAAGATAACTGTTTTATTCAACTTCCAGGAACTTTCAGCAACAAGAAGGTTTCTATTCCTTCTGGGCTAAAATGATCAAATAATCAAATCACATTTGACTAATTGATTGGGCACCACTGAGTCTGCCCTTCTATCATGTATTGCATCTTTCCTAAATAAGTACAACTTTAAAGGCATCTACATTTATATATTGTATCACATTGAGAAAAATAGGCAGAAAATGTGAAAAATGTTTTCTGCTCCTGGATAAGAAAGATATTGTTAAATAGATTATTTTTAACACACAAATTTTTAATTTTCTAAACATATTTCTATATTTCTAGTTAGTGGAAATTAAATTTTCTGTAGTAAGGAGATTGCTGTTGAATAGTGTGTGTATTATATAGAGATTACACTGTATATAAAGTTCTAGTAATTTTTAGACAAACAGCCAAGGTTGCAATTCTGAGGACAGGTTCAAGCTTGGGTTTGAATTATGAGAATTTTTCATGATCGGTCAGTCTCAGATACATTACACAAGGAAAAATTAGCCCAAGAGATTTATCAAATATCAAAGTTCGATTTATGATGACTCAATGGTGTTCCAATAGCCAATTATGTTGTAAAGCAAAGGTCTATAAAGATAAAAACCAATTACAAATTAAACAATTGAGGCATATATAATTTCAAAACTGGCTAGATTTAGCCATTTTTGAAATTATACCATTTTGCCAGCAAGCTGATTGTTTTTTAAAAGATAAGTTTACCTTTAAAAAAAAAAAGTCAGATAAGCACTTGATCTTATTTATTTTTCTGCTCTTTTCAATGATGATTTGTGTAAATTTCGAAACTAGCCATAAAACAGAAAGAAGGGATAAAAAGGAGGATGAAAATTGGATGTTAGTTTTAAAATCAGTTTTGTTCCAGATAAAGTGGGAGTTGGCCATTTTTGAAACTATATGCCACAATTATACAGACTATTACATTGAATAATTAAATAAAACAAAAGGTTTGATTAAATAATAGATTGAATATCAAACTGAATAGGAATTGTTAGACAAAGCCAAATATATCCAGTAAATTGTAATTTCTTCTGGCCATGCTCACTAACAATGTCTTAAATCAAGAGTTTATGTTTCATATTCACCATTGATAAACATATGCACTCATTGATAAACATCAAGCTTAAGAATGGAAAATGATTGAGAATCCAGAATCAGTGTTTTGAAAGAAATGCAAAAATTCTCCATTTATATGTGAATATGCATGTTTTTATTGTGTACTACAAAATAAATTTGTAATCTTATTTCATATAAAGTTAATATTGCAACACTATTCCAAAAGAAAGGTAAGCATTGTTTTTTCGAGTGTGCTAAACTTGGTTTTTTAGTTTTGTTATTTATACTGTACATTTAATCAATATGGCACCGAAGAAAGAGAAAAGTGACAGTGGAAATAGAAAACGTTTTAGTGTAGCATTAAAGAAAGAAATTATTGCAAAATACGAGAATGGCATTCGTGTTTCTGACATCGCTAAAGAATATAATGTGGCAAAATTGACTATCTCTACAATTATTAAAAACGAAAAAGCATTTAAGGCTGCCGATGTGGCTAAAGGAGCGAATGTGATATCAAAACAAAGATCTAAAGTTTTAGATGAAGTTGAAAACTGTTGCTAATATGGATCAATGAAAAGCAACTTGCTGGAGACAGTGTTAGTGAAGCTATAATTTGTGAAAAGGCTAAAAATTTATACAATGACTTGTTGACCCAGACACCCAGTACAAGTGCAGACAGGCAGGACTTTAAAGAGAGCCGAGGGTGGTTTGATAGGTTTCGTCGACAAACTGGCATTCACAGTGTCATAAGACACGGAGAGGCTTCAAGTTCAGATGAAAAAACAGCAAAAGCATCTGTAGATGAATTCGCAGTTTGTAAAAAGTGAACGATACGTCTGGAATCAAGTGTTTAATTGCGACGAGACCGGTCTTTTGGAAAAAGAATGCCTAGATGATCGTACATAACCCAAGAAGAGAAATCACTTCCCGGGCACAAGCCTATGAAGGACAGACTCACTCTTTTATTTTGCGCTAATGCAAGTGGTGACCTCAAAATCAAGCCACTTTTAGTCTACAATGCTGAAAATCCCAGTGCCTTTAAGAGCAAAAATGTGATAAATTCCAAATTTTTAGAAAAATTTTGATTAAGAGAGTAAGACAATGAACTTTAGACTACTTTCTTGTTCCTTATCAAAAGAGACATCGACTCTAAGAAACTCCCAATGCAGTGCTACCCGATATTTTTATGAAGGGGGGATTCCTCTTCCAAGCATTAAGCTCTGTAGAAATAAAGGTATGTACAGTGCTACTTTATTAAATAAAGTTTACATATTTGTTACTGTAATGATAGATACTACGTTTTCTTATATTTTCATCACAGAAAACCCATTTTACAAATAAAATTACAAAAATACTGTTGGCTAAAACGGATTAATTGTATTTGCATTAATTTCTATGGGAAAAATTGCTTCGGTTAACGAATGGACTCATGGAACGGATTACATTCCTTAACCAAGGTTCCACTGTATAATATTTTTTCAATTAAAATATAATTTTTTTTATATTTTAAAACTGTTTCACTGGCACTTAAATAAAAATGTCATAAAAATAATGATGGTTTGTATTCTAGAGTTAATTGCCCCATCATTAGTAATGATGTAAATTATTTATGTTTATTGTAAATGATTACATTGTTGCTTGCTTTCAACTTGTAAGAGCTTGAAGTCATAAAAATTGAACGTATCCATGTCTTTTTATGAAAAATTCAAATACATATACATTAACCTGTAATTCTCGTTACAATTCAGATTTAAATGTTAAATCATCTAGAATTAATACTTGGGTGAATATCCACTTTAACAGG